AGATTCTGCCGAAACGTTGCTACAACTTTAAAAGCACAACTACAATGACGTGGGAAAATACCTGAACAAAGCTGAATACCATACATACATACATACATACATACATACATACATATATTGTGAAATGCTGCTATGCCTGAAGTTGCACAAGTTCTGTATCTAAAAAGAGTCCCTGGCAACGAAATGCGTACTCAAGCCACACTCCCTACCAATAAAAGCTTCAACAGGCTTCTTGCACAGGATAATACGCACATAGTGCTACATCAAACGTCTGTAGGACACGTCAACCTTCTTGTCCTTACCTTAATTTCTGATAAGACTTCAAGAGTTTCGCACCAGCGGTTTCATATCTACCTATCAAGAAAGAAAAGAACCCAAGGTCACTGATAGCAATAAACTTGTACTCGTATGCCAATTCTTTTTTTAATCAGATGTAGCCATTTTATCAACCATTTTTACTACTTGACATTGCCAATATAAAAATGTTTGTGGTTCCTGTTTTTGTTCAAGCCCCATATTATAATGGACTATGGAGATCTCAATTACAGCAAAATAAAAATAAAAAAGAAGTAAACACCAATAAGGCAAGACCACAAAATGAAAAGAAGCAACTTTTGTATGTAACACCATTTAAATGTTGTACAACTTTATAGTACAAATAGTCCTAGAAAAATCTTACTGATTATAAAACTAAGGATAGGCAATCAACTAAAACACAATGTGATTCAATCCATTGTTACAAATAATGAATGGTGTGCAGCAATAAAAGCATTGATTATTAACAATTACATTTGGAATGTGTTCTTATATCTGTCCACAAAGAAAATAATTCTGTATCAGGTAAATCATTAACAATATAGAAAATAATTCTTTGGCATAATCAACTAAGCGGACAATAAAAATTGTTTTCTCACACTGGCTAATCACTTGATCTTTCATATGGTGTGTGCCAATAAAACAGGGAAGTGTGTGTGTGCTATTTTAGAAGTCTTCTGACAGTAGATCTGTTACTCCAGATTCATTGATCTATACAGAGAGAGCTTCTATATAAATCAACCTAACCTGTAATACCACAGCTAGGAATGAAGGGAGAAAAACTCAAGTTTTGGTGTTCCTAAGAAGAATAGTTACTGAAGGAAAAGAACAGCAAGCTTTAATCAGTTTGATCAGGAGTTAAATCAACAGAAATTGATTCTTCAAATTTACTTCACAAACTAAACAGCCCTCAAATTCAGAGTCTTAGCTTCAGATAGTGAAACAATCCTATTCACACACCTACAAAGTTGAGGAAAAGATTTTTGTGAAAGGAAGTAGAATTAACATTTCAAAGGCTAAATGCAGGAGTTTTTTAAAACTGTTAACCAAGCCAGATTGCAAATAAAGGATGGTGGTGTTGATGATGATTTCTCTTCTGAAAAACATTGCCCTGATAATTTAGGGTCAATTCAAGCTTTATCCCAAAGCCGAAGAATTGCCCAAATATCACCGTAATATATATGTGTGGTTCTTGGTTTTTTTGTAAATGAGATCAAATAAGTTCAACTTTGTCAGCTGCTTTTACAACTGCATTGTTGCAGTTCCTAATGTTCCAATAATTATGAGGAAAAATGTTGCTGGTTTAGTCCACAGACTCTGTAATTCAATTGTTCAGTCTAAATATTTTACAATCCTTTCCAGTTCCTTTTAAGCTACTCTAGTGTCATTTAATACTGTCATGTTTATAAGTAAACATTATAGAGATTTTCTTCAAGTATTGTGGTGGCCAGCATATTATGCAGGGGTAGGATTCTACTGGTAGGATCTACCAGTTTGGACCAGTTCTATAGAACCAGTTGTTATGATTCTGCGCAGTTTGGAGAAACAGCAAATTGTGCCCCTGGCTGGCCCCACCCCTCTCTGCCCGCCCCTCCCCTCCCTGCCCAGTCAGTCCTTATCGCGCATATGCAACATTGCGCACATGCCCGACATCGCTGACTGCGTTCTTCCCCGCCCAGTCACTCCTTAAAGTATTTCTCCTTTTTTCTCTCCCAACGATCAGCTGTTCCTATGATCAGCTATGCCGGGATTCCCCTTGCTTACTTACTGCTTTCCCCAGGAGGCTTCCCTGAGGCCCAGAAAGGCAAAAAATGTAGGGGGGGCACAACAAAAACACCCCCCAGGAGGCTCCCCTGAGGCCCAGAAGGCCCCAAAATGGAGTGCAGGGAGGTGTTGTGCCGCCCCCCCATGCTCAATTTTTTTCCTTCTTCGGCCCCAGGGAAGCCTTGGGAGCAAAAAAACACCCCCCAGGAGGCGTCCCTGAGGTCCAGAAGGCCCAAAAAACAGGGGGTGGCTGCAAAAAAAAGCTCAGTCATACAGTCATTCCCACCAAGCCACACCCACCGAACTAGTTGTTAGAAAGTTTGAATCCCACCCCTGATATTATGCTCTAGACTTCTGTTCATCTGAATTTGGAAATCTGATAAAACGTTTAAGCTATAAACACTGTGATAAAACATTGTGAAGTATCTTTTCATCATTATATGCATCAAATCTATTCTCCTATCATTATCATTATCATCAAGCTCTGATGAGTTACTGTGCTTAAGAAGCAATAAGGAGTATTTTATTTATATTATTTATTTATATAGTTTATTAAATTAAGAAGAGGTTCCAGCTGTGATAGATAGAGAAAGTTGCCAACGTATGAAGATGTTAGATTAAATGCCAGATAACCAATTATTTGAAAAGTTGCAATAGTCAATAATGGATTTAAGGAAGCAATAATTTGGCATTCATAAAATAATTTTGTAATTTCATTTTGGGTTTTGGAAGTCAAGAGGTTGTCATGAGATGTTTGGGGAATAGCGAAGAGTGATAGGCCATTTTCAATCATTTGATTTTGGATTTTGGAATGTTTCTGACTGGGCCATGAATACTTAAAAGCAGTGATGGCTAACCTTTTCTACGTCACATGCAGTAAGTGTGTGCGCGCACACGCATGTGCGTGTCTGCCTGCACCCATAATGCAATGCACGCACGACCCCCTGCCATGGTTAGTCATGTTGCATTTGTCAGTTGAAATGCAGCCTAGAAGTCTCTTCTAAAAAGATGGTTTTACATGTATTTCCTTTTTTTCCTTTTTACCTAATATGAAACTATACAAATCAACTGCAAAATTGGATTATAGAACACTTTTGATTAGTCACATAGTGAATGTTATTATACATGGGTATAAAGGAGAAAGAAAATGAATAGAATAATAGTAGCATGTAAAAATCATGTTGGCATAGGATAAAATATAGTTGTTAACTATCTTCCTTGTTTGTTTTCCCAGAAATACCTATTGCAAGTTAATTTTCTCAGCTCATCAAACAGAGTATTATTAAAAGGGAAAGCGAAAAACGTAAGAATTTTATTTTCAATATTATGACAACATATTCAGTTAAATTTACAATCTGATTAAATACTTTGTAGCTGATGATGCTGGAAAAACTCTTCCTTTTAAAGCTATAAAGTCGATACATTCTTGTTATACAAAAAAATAAAAAGATGGTTTTACTTATTTATTTATGCCTGTCAGATAAGTAACTTGTTTTTCAAATAATGTTTTTGCGCTATGTGAAAAATACCATACTAATGCCATAAAGCATTATAATAGACAAAAATGCATTTGTACTTGTTTTAAAATTAATTTATTATTAAGCAGTAATTGAAAGTGTAGGTGATTTGTTTTCCATGATAACATGGAACTGATCTATTATCCTATTATCTGCAGTTCCTTATTGTTAACACTGTGAAAGTATATCAGAAGTTTATTGGCCTTGTATAGTAATAAATACTGCAAACTGAACCCAAGGGAAATTAACAGTTAATAATTATTCCTATTATAGCTAATACTTACTAGTCTGTAAAATTATTATAGCTTCAAGAGAGTTATAAGAAGGTTTATTTCTTTATATACCTGCAGCCAATCATATTGAAGTCAGCTGGTTTCAATGGGGCATAAGCACAATCAACGGTAGTAGGTTATTTCTGCACCATCTTTTACATTTCTTCAGTTTCTAATTGTTGTTCCAAATTTTTGATTTTTTTTTTTATTTATCAAGAGATATTATTTCTCACTCATTTTTCTTCATTTTTCCAAGACTGAGAAATCAATTTGTGAAAAAATTGTATCTACAAGATTATTTGAGTTTATCTGAATTCTAATTCTGGGTGATATCCAAGACTAGATGAGTAGAATCCAACATTTATAACCGAATTTTCCTTTCCTTTCCATCACACCCCATTGTGTTTCCATCCCAATTTACTGCAGGACATCCCCATACCTGTGAAGCAGATTTTGAAAACACAAATGTGAGGAAGAAACTTCTTTGTCCATTCTGCTAATATGACATTGCTATATCTGGATTGTAAAGATGCAAATAAATGATCACAGAAAGAAAGAGTTATTTCTTGGGTTGCCTGTATTTCATAGATAGATATTATAGATACTATAGATAGATAGCATCTATAGATATTATATTAGATAGATATTATAGATATTATTATATTATAGATACTGTAGATATTATAGTTCTATGCTAAGGGAAGTCTTTTCCCTAACAGGACAGGTTAATATTACACTGCATTTGGGAACTGGATTAGTATGAACTCTTAGTAATTTAACATGTTATTTCCTAAATTTTACTGTAATAATGATTATATTACATTAAATTGCATTTAAAACTGAATAATTTCTTTGGCATTATGATAAAGTGCCAAAAGAGGGCACTGTTTGAATTCATAAAATAACACCTCATTCGTAAATTCAATCATCAATAATTTGCACTGAAAACTGCTAGAAGTCCAATATTTTTCCAGGAAAATGTTGAATTATATGTCACCTTATATATTTAGACAGTTATTAAAGTCAACATCTTTGTTCTTATCAAAGAACAAATCATTGTTCTTGATTACCAAATTTCCCCATTCAAAAAATTCAGTTTTCTCCCTTTTAAGCCATCAATCTAGGAAATGTTATTTCCCCAAGTTGATTCCCTCTTAAGTTTATAGAGTTTGATATTGTATAATTTCTAGTCATCTGACCCAGAGATGTCCTGTACATCTCGAGATGGGATAAAGATTGATACAAAGAAATCTAGTTGAAAAATCAATGTTCTGGAAGACAACTTTTGACACACAAATAACTAGATTTTTCTGGGGGTTTTCCCATTACATCCCACCCCAACTGAAAGTCTAGCAAGAGCTGTTGAAAAGAAGGAAGAAGCAACCTGATCCATCCAAGAATCATCAAGGTGACATCAGGATCATGACATTATGTCAAAATGGGAAGAGATGGTACCTTTACAAATAAAAGTAATACTGATTTCTTTGGGGTTTTTTACTTTAATTATATACCTAGATTTAGATTTTATATATATGTGTGTCTTGTTCCTATAAACACTATTTAACATATGCATTTGAAATGTAATTAAAATTCACTTATAGATTATTTTCCATTATTATTATTTTTAATTATGTTTCCCCCTTTTTCTTGCCCCATCTTACATTTAAATAGCATTCCCTTTCTTCCCTTTTCTATCATTTTTAAAAAAACATACACTAAAAACATATGCAACAACCCTCCATCGCCTTCTGGGTCTCAACAGCAACAGTTCCTTTGAATAAATTCCACTTTTTTGCAACTAGAACCAAACTCAATATGGCCTCTATCTTCCAGTGTTTTTGCAAGAGAAATGCTTGGGAATTAATCAGGTAGATGGGGAAAAGATTAGAAAGCCAACGAAGCACTGACACTTGGTATAGGCTGCTTTGGCAAGAGTGTGTATAGAAATTTCCACTTAAGAAAATTGTCACGATAGTTTTTTATTTTAAAAAAGGAAGGTGTATGATGGCCCATGAGGAAAAGAAACCCACATCCATATTTAAGCAGAACATGGGCCAACCGCACAGGCACAGATATTGTGCAAGCCTTCACGTTCTCCACAACACTTTGCAAGACAAAAGTAAAAACATTTAAAAGTGTAGAATACAACAGCAATTTGAGTCATACAGTAAAGTCTGCTGTTTAAAGTCATGTTCCCACTTCTGAAAATACAAGGGGATGTATATCCCCCATCTATCTCCTATCATGGACAAAGCACATAAGCATCTACTCTGACAAAGAGAAAAATTAAAAAACAATACAGAGGAAAGGCAGAAAGTAAAGTTATGTGGTGTGCTAAATTTTAAAAAAATCAATTCATTGTAATATTACTGTAGGAGATGACTAGGCTGAGCCTGAGGTCAGGGTCAAACGCATCATCAGTTTGGAGTCTCTATGCCTCCATAAGAGATCTAAGTCCACCCCCCCCCCACTTGAAGTTAATTAACTTCAAGTGTGGGGGGGTGGACTTAGATCTCTTATGGTGTCAATTTTCCTTGACCATTAGTAGATTAGATTCTTGTGTATAAGTAGCATAAAATAAACTTGTAGTACTTCTGAACTCTATTTTGGTTCCTGATTTCTTGCATCTGACTATTTAGGCACTGGAGGGATTTGAACTCTCAGCATGTTAAAAAAAAAAAAAAAAGACCCCGTGGTATGAAGGTTCTATTTTTCTATCCATGAACCAACAAGGTATCATTATCATTACATTATCATTATCATTATCATTATCATATCATTACAAATGAAAGCAAATGTACATGTCCCAGGATAATGTTGCAAGTTAATTACGACTTAATAGCCAGCCCCAATCAACAACTAAAAAGCTACACACAACTGCACAAAGCACATATTCAAAGCACATATTCTGGAAGAAATGAGGATGGGCTCCAGCACAAGTCCAAAAACTCGGAAGACTAAACCCAGATTGGATCTTGCAACATTATCCTGGAATAGGTTATATTTGCTTTCATTTGTAATGATAACCTTGTTGGTTCATGGATAGAAAAATAGAAGCTTCATACCACGGGGTCTTCTTTTTTTTTTTTCTTTAACATGCTGAGAGTTCAAATCCCTCCAGTCCCTAAATAGTGTTGATGGCTGGCTATTAATTACAACTTAAATACTATGCGTATAATAGCCCAAAGCGCGCATTCTGGAGAGAGGGAAATTCCCTGAGGATGGGCTCCAGCACAAATGTCCGAAAGTTTGGAAGACTAAACCTCTGGTCCTGTTGATTGGATCCTGTGAGATTATCACTGTTGTTTTGCGCCTTGGAAAAGACTTGCCCTAATGCCCAGGGTAGAATTTGCCACTAGAGAAAGATCCACCCTGATAAGGAAATCTCTCAGCAAAATGTCTTGCACTAGATGAAAGAGCGTGGGAATAATTCTACAAGAATATACTTTCTACAAAGGAGGCCGTGTGGCTACTGGGAGGCAATCATTACTTCCTTGGAACAACACTTCTTCTTCTGCTACAGAAAGTCAATGGGGAAATTGACCTCCTGGTATAATACAGCAGCAAATAAACAAGTTCCTTCGTTTTAGCAACACATCACTTATTTGCATTGTTTCTGCCACACCATTTTTCTGAGAGGTACAGATGGCACATATTCTAACCTCACAGCAGCAATTCATGGGCTAGATTTGCCTGCAAGAGGGTAACTGGCCAAGAGATCTGTGGGTGAATAGGAATCTATTCTGGGTCTCCCCAATCCAGTGATAGCACCTTCACCAGTAGACAATGCTGGCTTTCTTCAGTTTACTTCTACTTCTGTTGCTTCTCTGTTACAAAAACAGGGAATACTTCCATATTTCCATAAGGAATGGTTTTGATTTTTATTAAATGTTTCTTTTGAGTTCATTCTAATACTCCTCTTACTGAATAATAGCTTCTCGTTTAAAAATAAGTCATGAATATCATTCCTACCTTACTCAAGTCATTTCCCCTCTTATATCCAAAGCTCTCTCTGACACGCTGCTTACTGATCTTATAAAAATGAACTCCAACCTCCCGATGACTTCCCTAAATCTGTCATAATATCGTATTGTTATTTTAGTCCTAATATTTCTATCTATATGCAGAAATTTGCTGGAAATAATAGTGATGGCATTCATGGACACCCATAAATGCAAAGGAGGACAACCAAAACATAAATAGATTTGCCTGACTGTAATTGTATTAAAATCATTTAATTCAGCACAAAAAAATGAACTTACCTAAGCAATTTGGTGTTATTATCTATGACAAACGCATATATCTATAGCTAGGGGATGGTGAATTTAAGTAATTCAATACAATTACTACTATTATAGCTCAATAAAATTGCATTTTGAAATATCAACTCTTATAGATTTGCATTCTTGGAGACTAAGATAAAACATGAATTAAAAGGAGAAACTTATCAAAGTTATCCATTTATCTTGCATATGACTTAATGCTTCTGTTTTTATTTGGTACCTTCAGTGGGGAATTTCTTTGCTCGCTCCTCAAAGAACCATTCACCTGTCTTCACTTTAATAGCCCTGCAAAAAAACAATATAAGTGCTTATTTAAATTTTATATATGCCTTTTTCAATGACTACTGGAACAATAAAGGGACTGGTTATTTTTTAATTTTTTATTATCAAATATATACAGGTGGCACGCAACTTATGACCACAATTGAGCCCAAAATTTATGTTGCTAAGTGAGAAATTTGTTAAGTGAGTTTTGCCTCATTTTACAACTTTTCTTGCCACATCTGTTAAGTGCAATCACTGCAGTTCTTAAATTAATAACATGGTTGTTAAGGGAATCTGATTTCCCCATTGACTTTGCTTGTCAGAAGGTCGAAAAATGGGATCACATAACCCTGGGACACTACAACCGTCATAAATGTGAGTCAGTTGTCAAGAATACAAATGTAAATCATGTGACCATGGAGATGCTGCAACGGTCCTAAGTGTGAAAAATGGTCATAATGTCACTTTTTTCAGTGCCAATGTAACTTCGAATGGTCACTAAACAAACTGTCGTAAGTCAAGGACTACCAATACTTAGTTTGATGTGTTTTCATATCAGAAAGCTACTAAAGATAGTAACAGGAATTCAACTGTTAAACCAAGATAGGTACTTACTCAGAAGCATAGCAGACAGTGCATTTCCACAGAAAGGCATTTACAGTAATGCGACATTGAGAGCATATATGATGGCTGCATCCTTTGCACACTGCTCCTCTATCGATCAGGATTCCAAACGACTTCTGACAACGGGCACATGACCGTTTCTGAGAGCCATAGTTGGCATTTTTTGTTCCTTTACGCCAAAGGTGCTGCAGTTGGATTTTCAGTTTTCTGTAATTGGCCAGAAAGAAATAAGAATATTCACACATTTGCCAGGTGGGACACGTAGCAGCACTACAAATTCTAAATATTCTTAAGCTTTAGCTGTGAATTGTGATACTCTTGAGTTCCATGGAAAGGAATCTTTCTACTAAACCTCCAATGTAAAATGTCAAATAGCCTGGGAAATTACCCCATATTTAATGGCCCATTCTTGAACGAAGTTTTCGTAGAAGATGATAGCATCCTAATTCCAAGCATTTTTGGATGATTCTGAGGAGTTGGGTGTATTTTGATTTGGTTCTTATGTGCTCAGGACACCAAAAAGAACCAGAAAAGGTTTCAACCTAAAGATTCTCATGAAAAATAGAATCTTGAGCTGCATGATTACTAGTAATCTGGCAATCTGACCCTGTTCCTAGATTATTTATATATTTTTCAATGGCTTTCACATATGAGCTATTGCAAAATTCTATCCTGTATTACAACCTTTCTTACATCCCTAAATAAAGTGGATAGGCGAAGGGATCCAGAGATTTGGGTTCCAAAGGATCTCAAAAAGTGCAAATCGACTGCATTTCTTATGTAGAACCCTAAACCTCCCAGAATGGTTAGGGCCAAATTTGGAGACTGCTCTACAGTTTGGCCAATTTAAAGAGGGGAGTTTGAAGAACAAAATTCTAGAGCATCTAACTCTTCAAAATACTTAAGACCTCTATTTGTTGTTGTTGCTAAGTCATGTCCAACTCTTCAAGACCTTAGCACCAGAGTTGGTATTCAGCAGATTTTGACCAGTTCTGGAGAACTGGTAGTGGAAATTTTGAGTAGTTCGGAGAACTGGCAAATACTACTTCTGATTGGAGATTTTACAGTATCCTTCCCCTGCCACACACCCCAAGCCACGCCCACAGAACCGATAGTAACAAAAATTTGAATCCCACCACTGCGTAGCATCCTAGGTTTTCTGTCTTCCACAACATTTGCTCAAATTCACATCAGTTGCATCAATGATACTACCTAACAATGTCACCCATTAAAACTACTAAATCCTCCTTCTAAACTTGGCCCTGACTACCCCTCCCATTTTTGCAACATGATTCTGTCCCACTTCAAACTGCTGCAGAGCCTGTAAATCCTACAGTCCAAACAAAAAGGGAAGAAAAAGAACCAGTTATCTGGAGATTGACAGATCAACTGCTTCTAACGTTAGAGAGGAGGAAATTGACAAAACACAAACCAGTTTTACTCTGATAGTTTTATCTGAGTTACTTAGAACTTATTAAGACATCAACTAGCATTCTCATTACAGTAATTGAAATATAAGAATTGGAAACAAGTGGTATTACAGTCTGCAGGATAGTAATGGAGCATGCCAATGATGATCATAAGTTATGACGGATATAAAATAGGTTAGGCACTTGACTGACCTGTTTTTACAAATTTTTTGGTAGCAGTTGTTATGCAAATCACCATGTTTATTAAATTAATCCATGAAACCACTTAGGTTTCTTCCTACAAATGATGTCATTTAAAATTTCAACACTAGAGGGTGTTTTTGTGCTATCGTACCACAGAAGCATTCAGGATAACTCAAAAGCTTGGACAATAAACATGTACATTTTTGCATGCAATTTTGTTTGGTCCTCAAAAGATATTGTGTTTTATATTTTGAATAGTAGATTAGCTTACACAGCTCAGAAAACAACAGCGGTCTGCATTCCCAAATAAGAACACACATACCTTACTCTTTGTTCCTCCAGTTTTCTCAACATCTCATCACGGCAAAGGACATTTAGAACAATTTCTTGCTCCAGTTCCTTAAGTAAGTTAAGATTAAATTCTTGGGACATCTTCTCTTCTGATGTCCATAAGACAGAGAATCCAGTGTCATCCAGCAGGCAAAAGAGTTATAAAGACTTACATCCTTCATTCATTAGTGAAGCATTTGCAACACATTGTTCTTTTTAAAAATGGTAAAAATATAGGTGTGTATTTCAGACAAGCCTTTGTTTTCATAAACTCATAATCTCTTTAATGCATCTGCTCTTCTTATTAACAGTTGTCTGCTTCCTCCCATGAAAAAATGAACTTCAAGTTCTCAATCTACTGGAAGTAATATTAAATGGATAAAAGAAATAAATTAGTAATTCTGGTAGAAAATTGATATGGGAATATTTTTGTTAAATGTCTCCTGATTCTTTTGATTATAACTTCGTTGGTCCATACATGTGGCATGAAATCATTGCTCAGTTTCACTCTGCTTATATACCTTTGTGCAATTTGTTATATGTAGCTTTCCAAAAAGTATTTAATATCCAATTACAATAAGAAAGAGAGAGAATAAGAATTATGCTTTGCCAATGTCCCTCGAGGCACGTAAAATGACTTTGCATAGAACAATGCAATTCTGACTGACCACACCCTCTCATACAAATCAAGAGGATGTCCTTTTGTTATTTCCAGCAATGTGCACTCATTGCACTGATGCATGTTGACTCATGAATTGATGTACAATAAATAGGAAAACCACAACCATCATCGTCAAGCAAAAACGAGGGGGAATTTCAATGATGTGACTTGAAGAAAGAAATAATAACAGAGATCAAAAGAGAGAAGAACGGTCTGAAAAATCACCATTTATCTGCAGTTCTGAAAACATGAGAAATGTACCTCCAAGCAATCACGTTTTCCAAGGGGCATAAGAATATGCCAGTTGGGTCCTATCTCTCTTTATGCAAAATGCACAATGTATTTCAGATCAAATGAAGAAGTTAGCTGTATCATAATGCTACTTGTTATGAAAAGGCAGCTTTATAACTTCACTGATTGCCTAAAGAAGTCAAATTGGTACCTCTTTATGTATGAAAAGCTGTTCTAAATTATTTCCTATCAATAATATCGTTATCAAATTTAAGCAGATATCTTAGCATTCACACCATCATCAGACATAAGCAGGTGCATAATCTCATTGTTAACAATGACAGAAGGGCCTGTACTATATTAGCATACTCCAAACCCTCGAAACTGATTGGTCCAGACGGACCGCGACCTGATTGGTCAAAACCCCGGCCGTGATTGGAGCGTTAAGAACCTACCGCGATCGGCTGTGCCGATCGCGGGAGATTCAAAGCGCTGCCATTGGCCGCCGAGCCGCAGCGAGCCCTATATGAAGGGCTGCCGCGGCTTGACTTTTTTCAAACTGTTCTTATTCTAAATAAAGAGCTGAAATCACTAAGATGGTCTCGCGTCTCCTTCGAACCGATCTGCACCCGATCTAACAGGCCTGTCTCTGAATCTTTAGGGACTGAAGTGGGACTGGAATTACAAACCATTTACTGTAGAATAACCGCATTGGCATGAATGAGATTATTCAGAATTAAGGCATGATTGATGTTAGAAAGTTAAGTGTACCGTGAAGAGGAAATGAGGAAAGAACAGAAGTTGTGTAATCATACATCATTTCGTATTATGAATCTCTCTCTTTGGAAGTCAGGAACTTAACTTTTCACTTACAAACATTTTATTTGAATATCCAAGTACATTCTATAATTTTATTATAGAAAATCAAGCACATTCTCGTTAGTAGTGGAAATGGTGTAAGGATCCCTGATTCCCCCCCCCTTTTTTTGCCAAATCAAGTATCTAGTAATGTACACATATCTCTCAAAATATTAACACGTTTCTTATTCTTGTGCATATAAAAAGGCAGAACTTGTTCAAGTTTATATTCTATTGGCAGAACATGATTCAGTTATTGGATAATTGTCAGTTCTTATACTACCTGTAGCTTTTGTTCAGGAATGGCAAGAAGCTGACCAAATCTCTAAAATCCCTTTTGTTGTTTATTTTTGTTTGTTTTGCCAATGAGCTTAGCCAAGTCTCTTATTAAATACATGGGCGGTAATCATATTTTGTCACATTATCTTAACTAAACTGAAACTGAAATTAAATCAAATCAGATTTCATTTTTATGCTGACCTCACCCACTTCTTTATTACCAGCTCTCCCATCCTTTAAACAGATCCTCCAGCATCTTTACCTGGGTCCTAATGTAAATGTACTTGCTTGCTACACATTCATAATACTGTAGGCTGCCAGTCATACCTGCACTGATGAAACACAGAGGAAACTAATTCTGTGTCACATACAGAAAGAGTCAGACCCCTCAGCTTTTCTTTGGTGACAGAACTCAGTTTGGCTGAGGAATTCTGGGAGTTGAAGTCCATGAGGCTTAATGTGGCCAGGTTTGGAGATGCTTGAACTAGCATATTTGGCTTCAGCTTTTACTTCTACTTTCTCTTTCACTGAGTGCTTCCTAAAAAATAGATGACGGTGGGTGGCACTGCCAAGCTGCTAGCCCAAAGGAGGAGGCCTGATCAGGGGATGAAAACCCACTTAGATTTTGGGAAAGTAGGCTTTGAGAACTCTAGACTTCTACCCTACAGGCTCAACTTGTATTGTTATGTGGCCCCTGGTCTTGGCAAGAAAATGGCCTGCATTATCCCCATCATAGGAATCCCCGCATAGGAATCTAAGGTTGAGAGCTATGGCTTCCATCAGAGATGCCCTGATGAGCTGAAGACTTCCTGATTCACATCTAAGTATCCAATGCCATACCATAACTTAACAGTTCCTTAGATGAACTGCAATTTCCAAAGACTTGATCTCAATATATAGTAAATGCATTGTTCTATCACCCTAAATTTAAAAGGAAAACATGAGAATAATGTAATGGCGAACAGAAAGTATATTTCTTTTGAGGGTATTTTTCCTTCTGAATTTATTAATAGCTCTCCTAATATTATTAACAATATTTATGTTAGGTTTTGAATGTTAAATCATTAGACCTGAAATTGGTGGCACGGTGGTTAACAACACCAGGTTGTAGCACCAGGCTACAACCTCGTCTGCCTTTACCCCCAGATCCAACTGGGTGACTTCAGATCAGCCACTTGTCCAGAATCATATAAGGTCTCCTGCTTGGTCCCTTCCAGCCCTATTGTTCTATGTACTTTCACTCAGCCCTAGGAAAAAGGGAAGAGCAAACCACTTCTGAAAAAGATTGCCAAGAAAATTGCAGGCAGGAGCCAACACTGACACGAAAGCACTAAACAAACAAACAAACAAACAAACAAACAAAAACCCTTACTCTCAGAAAATAAAAACAGATCAGACAAAAATGCCATGAAACTACTTTTTCCCATAAATAAATAGGGACTTACCTGTTCCTTCCAAACCTTTCTGGTTTGCTTTATTGAATAAGAGCTTGTTACTATCTTCTCATATGATTCCGTCTTGCTGAGCCAGAATTAACATGGAGTTTTCTCTGTGTGCTTTACCTGATTGCTGTTCAGCCATCTGCACTGGAAATCACCATTAGTAACACAATTTGCTCTCCAACAGAGGCTCAACAGGTTTTGAAAGAGGCCATTCACTCTGAGGGGGAAAAAAAACAGCTGTTCTCATTAAAATGGATCTGAAATGTCTAAGTCATTGAACAGGAAGAGTAATAGCAGTTAAATGTGATACTGAAAGCGTTTCCTCCTCCTTCCTCTCTAATATTAGATGTGTGCAATACTGCAAACCTCAGTTTCCGCAAAAGCTTCAGAATAAGAAACATACAATTATAGTCAATATGCCATTTACAAGAAATGATTGGGGAGATGGCTGACAATTTAGGCAATTAGGCAATATTGCAGTATTATTAATGTGGAGGTGAAATTGCTTTATTTTACTGTGAATGTGCATGTTAGCATACTTTTAATGGACAGAAGGATCTTATCTTTGTTATAGGGCCAAAAAAAATATCATCACTCATCAAGAACAAGCAGCATCTTAGCTGGAGTCTCTAGATCAGTGATGGTGAATCTTTTTGTTGTAATGTGCCGAAAGCATGTGTGTGTCAGCATCCACAATGCAATGTGCACCCCCTACACATGCACGTATAACCCCCCCTTACCTGCACTGTGCATGCGCACGCCTCCCACCTGATTTTCGGCCCATTTGAGGCTGTTTTTGCCCCCCCCAGGGGCTCGAGGAAGCCTCTGCAGCCTTTGGAGGCCGAAAAACGGGCCTGTTTCGTCACTTCCTGTATTTCCAGTATAGCCTTTGCAAGTATTGTTGTGCAGCCTGTGAAGACGGCAACAGAATCGGACAGTGGGGAAGAACATGGGCCAGTCCAGGAGTCTGGGGAGGACTCGGATGATGGTCCTGTGTCCGATACAGAGATGGGGCCAGGGCCATCTGGGAGTTATGTGCTGACTCCGGAGCCTCCAGAATCTGACAGCAGAGAGGCAGAGAAACAAGGGGAGCCTGTTCCCAGTGTGCGCAGAGCTGCTAGAAGTCAAGACAAAAGAGGTGACTCAGGAGTAAGGCTTGGAGATGATTGCCTCTCCCATAAGATATAAAGGAAGTGCAAAGGGACAGGAACCTTTGCAGGAAGCAACATTGTTTGCTCTGGTCCGTTTGGAACCTGAAAGCTCTGTGGTGAATTTGTGCTCCATTTGGTTTGGAAAAACTAATTGGTACTTTAGTCGTTGGCAGCACTTCAAGAAAGAAAAAGGTACATTCTTATCAGACTTCTTTCAAAGGACCTTGGCAGACTTCCATGGGACTATTTATAACTGGTTGAGACTCATTACAGGCTGTGCATAACAATAATTCACAGCTGTTGAACTATAAAATAAAAGCGTTTTGGATTTTTTGTTGGTGTCTCATGAAGCCTTGGTCAGAATAGGTATTACCATCGTGAAGACTCTTGTTATGGATTAATTGGGGGAACTATTGTCCAATCCTCAGTTTCCTTAACCTCTCATCTACATACATGTACCAGTTGCTTTTCTCTCAATTTGATTTTCAGTTTTCAGCAAGACTCTTTTATCCTCCTCCCTCGTTTAGCACTGCTCAGAGATTTTGTCAGGCTGAGGAAAACCCTTCACACATGTAACACGCACACACAATGCTCAGTTCTGTTGCTGACTCCTCTTTCTGCGCTTGTCTTTTCTTTAAGATTTATTTTGGTCTGTCTGTTTGCCTTCCTTCAGCTGAGCCCTGACATTTCACTGCTCTGCCTTAATGTTGCTGAAAGAATTGTTTTTAAAAACCTTTGCCTCTGTTACTTGATCAACTGAGGGCACAGTTTAACCTGTTTAATGGTCTTGATACTTCTAGCAAATAAATCACCTTCACAGTAGGGACTTTTTAAGGTCTGTTGTGCTCTTCAGTCTACTGAGCTCTGAGTAATTTACAACCTTAAGTGGCAGATACAAAGCTGTGTAGAAATGGAGCAAGGAGCAAAGAACATCAACTATGAGTGCCTCTAAATGGTAAGCAAACTGGTAAGAAAAGATGGCAGGAGTGAAGAGGAGGAGCGTCTAATCTGCTTCTTCTAAAAACTACATTAAATTCAACAATCACAAAACTAAAAGTACAGAACAGAATAACAGATTTGGAAAGGACCTTGGAAGTCTTCTTGTCCAACTTCTGACTCAAGCAGGAGACCCTATGTCTTTCAGATTAAGTGATTGTCTAATCTCTCCTTAGAAACCTCCAGTGATGGAGCACCAACTTCTGAAGGCAAGTCATTCCACTGATCAATTATTCTTTCAGGAAATTTCTCCTTAGTACAGCACGTCTTCCCAACCTAGTGTTCCACAGTTTGTGTGTGTGTGTGTGCGCGCGTGCGCGCCTTTGAGTCATTGTTGACTCCTGACAACTACCTGGACAAGTCCCTAAAGTTTTCTTGTCAAGATTTTGCAGAGGTGGCTTGCCCTTGTGTCCTCCTTAGGGCTGAAAGAGAGTTACTGGTCAAGGTCACCCAATCGCTTCATGCCAAAGGTCTTACTAGAACTCATGGTCTTCCAATTTCTAGCCTGATGCTTTGGCAACTACATCAATCTTGCCCTTCTGAGTTGTGGACTACAATGTTTTTAACATCTGTAACAATACACCTCATTATCATTGACTATGGGAGTTATAAGTCAATATATAGCTGGCGGGCACAAAGCTGGCATAACTGGCTAGATCTGGAACAGACACAACTTTCAAGCAGCTATACACTGATAATTCCATAAATGGCACTGATTGTTTTTGACATCACTAAAGGAACAGTATTATTACGGATACCCAATACATGGCAACTTCCTATTTGGACATCATCTAAAAATTAATATAAAATATTCTTGACCTAAAATCAACTCCTGGTGACCATGTTGACAGAAGCATGCAGTATTATTTTCTTGCTTTCTTCCTAGATGTCTATGGAGATTCTCAGTCACCCAGGTCATGGTTGTCCCAAAGGTGCTTTTTTCAAGAGACAACTGGATTTTCTGGTTTTGTTTTGTTTTTTTCTTTGAAGACGTTTTGCTTCTCATCCAAGAATCTTCTTTAGCTCTGACTGGATGGAGGGAAATGGAAGGTTTTATACTCCTTGAAGACAGCTCTGGACATTTGCATTCTTTTAAGCAGGTTGTTAAGGTCACTTGGAGGTTTATCTGTGTCATTAGGGTCACCTGACTGATGCAAATTGGTGTGGAGCCTTCTTGGAACTGGTGAAAGGACTGTGTTGTAGATTGGAGACAGATGTCATATCCCTTCCCCTCCCTTCCCCTCTATTAAGATCAAGTGTAGTATTATGTTAGTTTTGAGATAATGGACCTCTTTAACCCCTTTCAAATCAGCGATCGTATCTGTCCAAAATATGGACTTTGACATAAATGTCAAGACGTGTATGCACATGAGACTTTACCTCCTCCTCTCTTCCACAGCCCTGGGATCTTCTGTTGGTTATTTTTCACTTAAGTACCAACCTGGTCTGCTTCTATTTACCTTTCTCAAGATCATTTCAGACGGCAGATGCTGCCATCTGCTGTGAGCATTAGCCTTAAAAGAATAGAATAGAATTCTTTATTGGCCAAGTGTGATTGGACACACAAGGAGTTTGTTTTGGTGCATATGCTCTCAGTGTACATAAAAGAAAAAATGAAAAAGAAAATACATTTGTCAAGAATCAGAGGTATAACACTTAATAGTAGTCAAAGGGTACAAATAAGCAATCAAATCATATTAGGAAACATTATAATAAGCGATCAAATCAAATTATACTAGTAAACAGTCAATAAAATAATCATAAGGATACAAGTAACAAAGTTACAATCCTGTAGTCATAAGTGTAATAAGTCATAAGGAGTGCGCCAAAATGCGTGCATAAGTGCACCAACGTGCCTACTGTCCTATTGTTTCTTTTTTATTCATATCCATTTCATGTATTCATAACCATCTAATACTTGCTTGACAAATAAATAAATAATAAATAAAAATGCAGTAGTGAAAATTATGCTCCACGTCTCTGAAACCCGGTCACTCTTTTTGTCCACGATTGCGTTGGATTTGCTTCGCCCCTTTTCTCGCGATTGTGGGCACATGGGTGTTTTCCAAACTTGTCAAATTGAAGTCCGGTGGATTTCAGCTCCCAAAGAGTTGAAACCCGCCCATCTTTTAAGATGGCAAGTTTGAAAAAAAAAAGACTGCTGCGCTCCCGCCTCCCTCCCAGCTTGGAAACGCGAGGACTGAAGAGTAACTAAGGAAGATGGCGAACAAAGCCCGCAACGGCCCACGTGACAGGACACGTCACAATCAGAAAGGGGAAGCGGTGAAAGCCCCGCGAGCGGCAAGCGGCGTAGCCCAACAACACTCCCCGCCCCGCCCCCGCCCCCTCGACGGGCATGCCTCTCCGGGTCGGGTGATTGGCTGAACGCGTTGACCGCAGTGCGCAACCGCAGAAGGAACAAGAGGTGGGAGCTTGTCGCGTAGCGGCAACGAACGCGCGGGGTTGGAGCCGAGCTGAGTCAGAAGGAGGACAATGGATGAGCTCCAGTCTGCCGAGGAGGTAACACGACTCCGGAGCGAAAGGACCGTCGTAGCTTCGTTGGCAGGCCTGGGCTGGAACGGACCTTTGGAGAAAGAGAGGTTCCGGGTAGCCTCTCCGGTCGAGACACGCCCCTTCCCCATTGTTGCTCCTCTTCCCCACGCACCCACTACCGGGCTTTTCTCGCCTTCCAAAAGGCGGCGGAGAATGTCGTTCATTCGCGCCCCAGCGGCTTTCCATGGCCGCGCTGCTCTTTCCCGGATTAGCGCGGGGGCGATGGGGTTAGATGTATTGAAATGGTGTATAGGGTTTCCTGCCTAAGTAAGGGGTTGGACTTGAAGACCTTCAGGGTCCCTTCCAACTGTAGCGTTATTCTGCTGTAGCGTGAGCCAAAAGCAGCGCTCTCATTTGGTGGTAGCCGTGCAGATTTTTTTTAATTTTTAGATAGACATTTATTTATTTTTAGGATAGTTTATAATGAGATATATTAGAATGAGATCTACATCTCTCTGTGTGTGTACATACATACAAATATATATATATATATATATATATATATATATATGTGTGTGTGTGTGTGTGTGTGTGTTTTAAGTTTTCACAGGTACTTAACATGTATGGTATTCAGCTTTGTTCGGGTATTTTCCCATG